CTGCAAGACAGCTGTGGTAAATTTGAGACAAAAACAGGATGTTGCTAAATAAAAAGTTGTCGAGAAACCGGAAACCATACAGTATTGACTGCTTTTTCAAAAACAACAGAAAGATTAAAAAAAACCTGAAAACTATTATGTCCCAACCAGAAAAAAACCCAGCTTTACACCGTCTTAGCACAGGTAAGTGAATTGTATTTGCTCCGATTCGCGAACAGTGCCTGACTTCGTTTTCAAGTTTCATTCCCACCGTCTAAACGTAGTCAGCAGACAATTAATTTGATGCGTTGAAATCTGTTGCTGGTCCGGAATACTTTGGACACCTTTCATAAACGTAACTTACGATGTGACAAATTTTCTGAAACCTTTCTGATCAAACTTACTGATCTCTTTCTGAACTGCCTTAGCTTTTCTGAGTAGTTGCTTAACAAAGGTATGAGCTAAAATGCCTAGTTATGACTGGAAATCTACATTTTTTGCTGGTCGAAAGAAACTGAGTATGCTCTAAAAATAGATAGCAAAGTATTGTGCACTTAGCTTCAATCCAAGACAATAGATCGCAATTTCTGTGGTTCATTAGATACGAAGAGAATAGACACACTTTGAGAGAAACCGACCAGTCCCCGAAGAGTCATAGCGTTTTATAGATTGAGATATGCTGATAAATGCCAAACATCCAAAAAGAGTGATCGCTTTTGGTTCATTAGAGCAACTTTCGCGCCGCCATGATATACAATTATTACTCGCAGCGTCCGTGAGCGAGATGAAGCGAATCCTGTCTTCTGATTGGCTACCCTGGCGAGCAAGATGGGCCTATCTTACCCGATCTATCTTACCCGATCAGTTTTTAATTCTTGGACAATTTCGGCGATGGAAACGCAAAAAGCGACAGAAGATGGTCCAACCATAAAAACAGAATTAAACGACTTTCGTGAGTTTGTTGTGCTACAAACACAGTTGGCTTTCTTTTCCGGCTCTCGAGGTAAACGAGTCATTGTTATAAAGCCAAATCTTTTTGCAATATAATAAATCCTTTATTAACCAAGCCTGCTCGGTCAAGATGGCTGGATATTGCCGGGTCGAGTTCTTTTTTTGCCAACCTCACGCTTGGTTAAGAACACACATGTATTACTCCTCCGCGTACTACTGCTTGGTAACCTCGCAGAGGTATCGATAACTTTGGTACCAAGTGCAGTGCGCGGAAGGGGTTCGATCTACTCTCGTGTGCAAACATGAGTTGTCAACAGCTGTCCCTTTTTAGTCAGAAAATGACGTCCTTCGCTTTTTTCTTCACTTTCTATTAATTTTTTGTTTAACCCCTACTGACCAGTGCTATACTTACGTACCAAAGTTAGCTCTGCATACATTCGGAAGTATGTGTGTGTCTGTAATTTTTTTTTTTTTACTTAAAGCTCCCACCGCTCAACTAATTCAAATTACTTCGTTTGTACAAACCAAATTTCCCTCTTTCTCATTCTCGTGTCTCGTTTCGCCTCACATTCGCTCAGTAATTTTTGTACTGTAACGCGATTGTCTTATGTTTACAGAGGTTTCTCCCGCTCACGTCTGATAAAAAAACCTCTACCAGTCAGCTGCCTCGGAAAGATATACTTTAGAACGTATTTAATGTGACCGCAAGTACGCAAGTTTTCATCCGCACACTTGTTACTTAGGGAAGGTACGTTTTTTATTGGGGGAGGGGGGTATTTTAGAAATTTTTTGCCAAAAAGTCGTGGCCCTCCCACTTTCCAGATTGGATTAATGCACGACCCTTCATAAATGCCTAAAAAAAAAGGATCTGACCATCCCCCCACCTCCTCCAAGACAAAAACAACCGGAGGTGAAAATAACTGACCGGAAGTGTTGCTCACATAACCATGTCTGCGCACAAAGCAGTTAATTGCGTGACGTTGCACGGTGAAAACTTGAAAATGGGCAGTGATGTGCGAGGAATGGAAAGAGGGAAATGCGCTTGTGGAGAATGCCAGGATTTCATAAAGGTCAGATGGAGCAATTTGTGGCTATTGTGGCTGTTTGCCGACTCGCCATTCTAAAAAGGATGCCCGCTACTCCTCTGACTCTGTTGGTAGCACATCGGGTGCGGGAACAAGCGAAAGTACAAGTCCAGAGAGGTGGAAAGATGAAGATCTAGGGTGCTTCCCGAACCCAAAGGGCGAATATACTGAGTTCTCAAATAGCATTTTGTGAGAAAGGTGAGCTTTATATTGAGTATAGGCGAATGCCGTGTAAAGAGAGAAACTATTTAAATTTTGCGAGAAGGATGAGACTGCCAGCACTCCACTTCCAACTCGACGACCACATCCCGACTATGGCAAGCTACCAAACTTCCACTATCTCTCTTGGAGTGCAACTCGCACCGATGGCCGTGAGCTGGATGACTTCCAGCCTCGAGCTGAGATTAAGCGATTGTTTGAGGAAAGTGAACTAGTCAGTGGGGACAGTGAGGCTATTAGAAGGTTTTCAGATAAATACATTGTCCCCGAAAAGCTTGTAGCGGAGTATGTTGAGCACCTTGCCCAGATAAAAATGCGCAAGGAGAAGAAGAAAGAGGAGACTGAAACTGGAGCGAATGGAACGGCTGAACCGGGAGTACAATGACATTGACTGGGTTGGACTGTACAACTCCGATAAGCTGTCGTCGTTGAGGGTGGACGAACTATCCTTGTACTTTTCCCATCACAAGATCACCTTCAACGGGAAGAAAGCTGAAAAAGTCGCAATGATAAAAGCGCACATTGGTAGCTTGCTGTACAATTTAATGGGGCGTCAACAACCTCGGAAGCCCCCACTCAGAAATGTACAGCAACAAGTGACCTCGTCACTTTCCGAGGTGGAAACTGACTCGCAAAGTGATGTGGTAGATCGAGTTGTCGGTTCAAGCCCGAGTAGCTCAAGCAACGAATCGTCACCGGACACTAATTTTATACCAGAGCCCCGCGCGGAAACATTACCGACGTCAAAATATGGACGAAAGCGGGCACGGGTCGAGAGAGACAATTACGTTAGTTGGGACAAGATAGTTTTTTGACATAATATTTCGACATCTGTTTAAAATGATGTAGATTGATTTAGACTGGTAGCTTTGCTTGTATATATAAGTTTTAGGTTTCTATACACTTCGCGTGTTTGGTATGTTTATTAATAAAGTCAAC